GCAAAAACTGAATAAACAGTTTGCTGATTTTTTTTAACTGCCAGTGGTAAATTTGAAGGGTTAATCATTATTGAATAAAAAATGCATGAAGGCAAATTCCACAGGAGCATTTAGTATAACAAAGAATTATGAAACCAATTCCAACATGAAATAGCAATATATTAATTGTCACTCAAAACTACATAACAGTTTTTAAATAAGAGACCATTTTCATGGTTACAGTCTGTAGCCTAGCCATTCTAAGAAGCAGACAATAGCTAGTTTAACATGTTTGAGTTGTTCAGCCATCAAATATAGATAAGTTTAACATTGTCTAAGAGATATTGCAAGTTATCCAGGTTTCTTTAACATTGAAGACCCTGCAAATACAGGTATAAAACTCCATTGCAGGGTATCCTTATCAAAGTAATTGTATTGTAATGAAGAGATATCTCCTTTATCCTTTGTTAGACTTGTGATTGTCGGCCTTGTTTGACGAGACTTAATACTTCCATGCAAACTGGGAGGTCTATATGTTTGTATTACATAAACAGAGACACTCTCAAAGTCATTTGAAAGACTCCACTACAATCAAATTGTTCTCACTAAAATAAGTTTTCATTTACTTGGTAAAATAGTCAATCAGTCTTAATTAATTTGGGATCTGGTATCATCAGGATTCGGCTAGATGTCAATCTGGTAGGAACTTTAGCTTACAGCTGGCTGAGAATCCTATCCACTTGTGATGCTCTTCATTAAACAAAACCGACTCCAGATAAAACAATTACAGTACAAGAAGTACATTTTATCAATATCTTATGATGTGGATCCCATAATCTAAAGACAGAAAGGCCATTTCCAGGAATGGGGCTGATATAGTGTATAAATGTGAGCATGTGAGTATATAAGCAAACAAAAATAATGATGGTCATCAAATTGCACATGATGATACATAGAAATGATATATTCAGCTACTTTGCTGCCCTTACTGTCTAAATAAGAGATAATGGTTGCCCAAATATAAACACTTTAGTTAAAGGTAATACAAAGTTTTGGGAAATTTTGAAAATTGGGTGATTTGTGATTCTTTACAATTTTGATATATTTGGATGCCCCTGTGGATGTATTATAAGCACTAGAAAAATTAGCCAATAAAACACTTCTGCTTTCGAGAAAAATTGAATATAAAAATTTACTGGTGCTCCCGGTAAATTTTGATAAATTTAAAATAGCGCCTACGGCCGTTCAACAGTAGCTGCGACCATGAAAATCTCAGAATATGTAGTTGTGATATATAATTTCAAAACGGGAAAAGCTAATTGATTGATTTCAGTCAAGAACCATTGTTTTATAGTTTAATTAATATCTTGACCTTAAGAGGGAACTATACAACATAAAGAGTTTATTATTTACAATTCAATAACTTTCGACTCGATTTCAACCGCGACAAAGATCACTGAATATTGTAGGATCGCCTATGCTTCCATTTGAACCAAATTCATGACCCCATACCAAAACTTTGTATTACCTTTAACTTCAGGGGGTGCTCGTATTTGAAAAAGAAAGAAGCATAAACTATCACATTTTCTGGTCAAAGAACAAAATCCAAGTGAATTTTTAGTGATGAAAGTGACCTTCATTATTTAAAAAGAAAAGGTCTTTGGCCAAGGATGAGTTGCACAATAAGCCACGCCTGACATGAAGGAGACAAGTACAATTGCGCAATGTATAATGGATCTATAAAGAGATTCAATCAGCTTAATTAGGTGTGATAAGCTGACCAGCAAACATATCCATTCACAAAGGACAGAGGACACATGGAATTCAGCATGGATCTCTCAGTGGTCAAAGGACCTTCAAGTTATTTCAACATTTCTTTTGCCAACTCTGTTTGTTGCTACGGCAGGCAGCCAGTGAAAACGAATTTGTTTAATCAAATTATGGAAATGCAAGCATTACTTTAAACAAACAGAATTTTGTTATTCCTTGCTCATTTTTCCTGATTGAGGTGACATATGAAAGGGCAGAAACTGAACTTTCTAGAAATGTGATTTTCCCTTTGAAATTCAGATACCGTCCGCCAAATGACTTTTTGGTTCCCTCTCTTCAAATTAATTTTAATCACTCATGCATGAAATATACATCATATGAGTTGCAGCAAATGAAAGAGGAGGATCTAAGCTTTACAAATATGTGTCATTTACTAATTATAATTGTGATTAATTTATGATAAAACATCGATAATTCTCTGTTTCGTTTTTCTGGGGCGCACTGTAGTTTCAAATGTTTGAATGTTCTTTTCCCATGATTATGCTCACATGATCGATAATGCCAAACCAAGTCCTTGTATTTATCAAACTCAACATCCTAACCAAGATAATTCTCCATTGTTCAAAGTATATTCTGAAATTAGACATCTGCTACTCGGATGCTTTACATGCTTTTTACATACATGATGTATTTACTGAAAAGGGAACTGCATGAATTGTAGAATTGTTAAAACTGGATGAAGCTGGTTATGTCAATGTTACCATTTAAGGAAGCTGATAATATTAATAGTTCTATTTACCTATAGACTAGGAACTATACTGCTCTTGATTTTGTATTTCTACTGGGATAGAAAGAGGATGCATACAGTGTTTTAGATGATGTTTCAGTTCATTGTTTCATATTTTACACATTATGAGATAATATTAAAAAAGAAATATATAAGTACTTCTAATTTAAAGCTAAGTGGTATAAAACAGTTATGATTTGCCCTATTGTGAGGATTCATCATATGTGTTGATACAGTTGATATCAATTTACTATGAAGTTTGCAAATCAGTGAGCAAAGCATGGGTTAAATCTTTTATTAAAATTTAAAAAAATTGCAATATTGAAAAACAGTTCAAAATGTAATGAGAGACATGATAAGAGGATTGATTGAAAACAAAGGAATACAATTCCTTACAAATGACTATTATCTATGGTTATAAGGGTATTTAAACCATGGTATAAACTTGATATTTTAAAAAACTTATTCCAGGGTGGTTTATCTTACATTACCAGATTGGTGTGCAATTTAACTGCTTTCATAAACACATCAAAATGTTACATAGAGTACCTTTTATGTTGGACAAAAATTCTATAGAATCAACAATTGTGAGTAGAATAATAGTAAACAAATCCTCATTGTAATGAACAAAGGCTGGAATACTTCATTGCCAAGTCACGCTACTTTCCATGAAATCTTACTGGCCATGGACAGGAAGAATATGAACCAGGAATGAGTTACTTGAGAAACAAACATAGAATTAGATCATTGATAATCCTGCCATGGTGACAATACATCTTAACACAATAAGAATTTCTCATAAAAGAGGATGCCGACTTGTTTGTTTATTTGTTTGTTGACTTGATCAGTGGTGGAAGTAAAAAATTATCTATGTGAGAGGGCAATAACTTGTAATAAAGTTAGACTTGGGTTGACTTTTCTTTCATTCTTTGTATCCTTTCCATTTAGAGATCATATCATTTGTCGTTTCATTAGAAAAGAAAGAATGCTAGAAACATTATTAAAACTGCAAAGGACTAAGCCTGTTTCTGGCAAATCATCTATATATTTACCAAAATAATGAAGTTGAGATCTTCACTATTTTGACAACACATCTACCACTTGAATCCTTACCACAAAAAGAAGTTGACAGTTACATTTTGCATTTGTATTAACAAAATGGTTATACAAGACTGTAGTCTATACGAAGCCTGTCTTTAAAAAGTGTCTATTGCTTTTAAAATTAAAGTTAATACAGATTTCTTTAAACGAACTGGGAGAGAACATTTTTCTTATTCTTGTATCATTTTTTGCAAGGTTTTGGTTAGTGGTGTAATGGACAATTTAGGAGAAAACAATGCTCACTGATTAAATTGTGAATGGAACTAAAAGAAATAGTTCTAAAGATAATTCACATGTCCTTAACACTTCCTTTTCCCTATCGGTCTATCATGAAATAAGCAAAAATCCCACTCTTCTCAAATTGGATAGCATTTCTGGAGGCTTCTAATTACACGAGTTGCCTAATCTTTGTGCGTTACAGCTGATGCAAGGGAGAGGAAAAGTTTCGGAAGCAGTTCGGATCCGGTGCGATCAGGATGAGGTCATCTCTAATCAGATTGGTCAATAGTTACGGACAAAGACACCATTTGGTTGGTATCGGCAGCCAGTACATGGAATGTTGGCTCTTCCATCTACCGTGTGTACATGCATGCTATGACATTGAGAAGTACGTCCAGGTACGCACTGTCATCTGCTTGGAGCTAAAAGGAAGGTTAATACTGTCTAAAATGAGATAATTCTCTGCTGGCTCCGAACAGATGTTATGTGGGTAATGCATAAGATCGTCTGCTAGAAGGGTGTAATTAAACTCAACTTTAACATAAAGTGAACGGCTTTCTGGTTGTGAACAGACAAAATACGGACAATGGATACAATAGCCTTCAGGAGACACAGAGCTAACACCCTTCTGGCTCTGAACAAATGGGCAGTGTATAAGATGGTCTGCAAGAAGGAGGTTAACTCAAACTTTTACAGATGAAACATTATTTTCGAGTTCTGTGGAAGAGATCACTTTAAAACAAGTTGTATGTTTGTCTTGGACAAATGAGAAATTAAACTATGTCTATGACATATGAGACATAATAGAAATGGAAGAAAAAAAATGGATTCGTTGCAAAGAAAAGTATGTTAACCCATTGTCTTGAGAAACTGGGTGGTCTGTCCTGGAATGAAACCTATGGGAGAATTCAGCAATCATGTGCGTTGATTCAATGTCTCTTGACACATGAAATCAAATCACAGAATTTAAAAGTCAGAAAGTGCGAACTTCCCTTCATTTCTTGGAAATGGTTTGCTAACACGTCTCTCAGACGGAAAGTTTGACGTCATCTCTTTCCTGTCCCTACTTCCCCTGCCTGAACATAAAATGATCTGAAGCAACGCCTAGGTTGACATAACGTCCTTATTCAAACTTCACAGCTTACTCAGGCAGAAGTGCATTGACTCAGAATGAAACAATCCTATCGCAATTGGTCAACAGAGAGAGATTACATAATCACTGAAGGAGGGGATATCGCATCATGAATGGAAGAGCCCTTTGATACTACATCCGTAGGTTAAAGATTAACCAGGCTGATTGGTCAAGAACTGCTTAAATATCTATCCAGTCACCAAAATCAGTCAGTTTCTTACAAAGTCACCAAGCGACCAGCAACCTGGAATAATTAGCAGACTTGACTCCGAGTGAAATAGAATTTTAAGGCTGAAAATTTGGAAGTGTACTGAAATCATATTTAAAGATGGCATCCTATCTGAAATCATCCTCATCTGGTATAATGAGATGCTGTATCTTGGTTACCATGGTGACCTCTGCTCTTGCCTGTATGTGTCAACCTTCTCATCCTCAGCAGCAATACTGCAAGGCAAATTTTGGTAAGTTTTTATTCTCTTGACTTTATATAGAATATGGTGTTGACTTTTCTTACATTTCTTGTTAACCCGTTCCTTCCGAAATTATTCAGCCTGATAGCCACCCCACAAACGAGATTAAAAATCGAAAACTCTACTCCTTCGCTGCCGTACAATACCGTGCGACTGTTTAGCGCGCGGAACAATGCGTGTGCGTTGAAGCGACCTAAAGCCTGGCCAGTCGCTTCGACGAGCAGGAACTTAGCGCATGCGCAGATCATTTTGCAATCTGCCGTGCTCTAAGTTCTTTCAGCTCTTCCGTACTGTAGGTTTTTTTTTCTTCGTTATCTTTTTTTCCTCTTCTACCTACTTATTTTGTTCTTCTTTTTTCTCCTCCGTATCTTTTTTTCCTTGTCACTCTTATTCCTCTTCCTTCTTCTTCTTCTTCTTCTTCTTTTTTTTCTTCTTCCTATTCTTCTTATTTATCTCTTTTTATTTTGATACTCGATTTTATGAGAAAATACACAGTTTATAAAAAGTAAACTAATTTAATGTAAGTTTCTATTGCATCAAATTTAATTGAAATAGTTTATCAGCCAAAATTGACTGTTATAATATACGTCGGACAATATACTGTAGCGAAAATATATAAACATGATCAAATGAAACTCAAGAAGAATCCAGAACGGGGGGAGGGGGGGGGGGGGGAGGTGAAAGGAGAGCCAAAATAGCTTACTAATAAATACAGTACAGACTATATAACGATGCGCCCAACTTTCTCTCTCTCTCTCTCTCTCTCACTCTATAAAAACCGTTCATTATACTTCATCTCTCTCATACTGTTTTCTGTTCCGCGATTTCCGAAAGCACGTTTCGAAATATAAATAAGAATTGTTAAAAGTAAGAGTTTGGATATAAAAACATATCTTTTGCAAAAAAATAATATGAAACAATCTTTTTTGACAGAACTAATAAACGTCGGACGAAGGAAATAACTCCTTGGTCGGACATTATACTTTAGCGAATTTGTTTTAATTTAAACTTTTTCTTTTTTTAAAACTATACAAAAGAAACATTCTGAACGGGGGGGGGGGGTTGATCAGATAGACAACTAGCATAATAATAAATACAGTAAAAACTACGTACAACTTTCTATCTCCCTCTCTCTCCCCCCACTCTCTCTCTCTCTCTCTGTATCTGTCAATGTTGTTCCGCCATTTGCTTGTATGCCGGCATCATTCCTTCTTTGAGATAAATTATGATAACATATCCATGATGATGAAAACATACATCTTAAATACTAGGGAACAAAAATAGAGAACGAGCAGCTGATAATGTCAAAATGAATATTACTGTACACAAATTATAGAAAGTAAAAGTTTTGATTTTGAATGTAAATCTCTGTTGCATCAAAATAAAATGAAACGTTCATTATATCGACGGAAATAATATACATCGGACTTATACGTTACCACAAAAGGGTCATCTAGAAATAGGTGGATAACATTATAAGAGAAAGAAGAGAAAGAATGAAACTTTCTCTTTCAAAAACAGAAGAACAATGGAGAGGGAGACAAGGACAAATACACAATAAATAAATATAAACAAGATAGGATTCTAGAGCGGAAGATGATATAGGGGAAACGAAATAGTTCGGAAGTATTGCCTAGAAAGCAAAATAATTATTCTGTTTTATTTACTAATGTAAAGCGCTTTGATCATGTTTTATGTAAAGGCGCTATATAATATCAATTTGTATGAATATATTGGCAAATTTTGACAATTATAGTTTGTATGTATTGACAAAGTACATACAAATACAAATGACACAGAAATGTCTGCAAGTATTTGGGACCTATAATAGAATATGTGAAAAGAGCTATATCTTTGTCTATGGCCCATGATCCCACAGCTTAGTTACGTAAGAGGAACAAAGAACGTTGACGGATGTAAAGGTTGTTGTCATGGTTATAAACCCCAACAATAGAAGAGCGAAGTAAGGTAAGGGTATAATTGAATGACAATGACCTGGCTTACAGCATTGATGATACTACATGTATAACCCTGTTTTTTTTTGTGTGTGTTTTGGGGGAGTGGGGTCTTGTTGTTTTTGCAATCATTCAAAGATAATATCAATCATACAAGATAAAGGAATGAACAAGAATATGCTAAAATGTAACAGACAAAAAGATGATGATGAGAAATGATTGTTTCTCTCTCTTTTTTCTCTCTTTTTCACTCTCTTTATGTGCCTCTCTCCCTCTCTCTTTCCTCTCTCTCTCTCTCTCTCTTTCTCTCTCCACTTTCTCCCTCTCTCTCTCCGTCTGTCTCTCTGTCTATCTGCCAATGTTGTTCCGCCATTTGCTTGTATGCCGGCACCATTCCTTCTTTGAGATTAATTATTATAACATAAAATTATCACTGATGATGTACATTATTATACCTTATATTTATTATAGGGAGCGAAAAAGAAAACGAGCGGCTGATAAGATTAGAAAAATATTACTGTACAATATTTATACAAAATAAAAACTTTGAATGTAAATCTCTGTTGCATCAAACTGATATAAACAATTTTTATTATGCTATATTGACGGTACTATTATCCGTTGGACATTATGCTCTAGCCAAAAGATATAAACAAACAAAAAAGAGAAAAACTAAAGAAAAAATCTGAGGTGAGTGTGGGGGGGGGGGGGGGGGTAGTCGGTGAGAAAAATATCATAATAATAAATACAAAACAGACTACGTCAAACTTTCTATCTATCCTACCCCCGCCCACCCTTCTCTCTCTCTCTCTCTCCCTCTCGCTGTCTCTCTCTCTCTCTCTCTCTCTTTCTACGTCGTTTTCCATCTTCATCTTTCATAATGTTGTCTACTATTCCGCCATTTACTTGCATGCCGGCATCATCCCTTCCTTGAGATTAATTATTATAACATATCCCTGATGTTATACGTCAGACATTATACTTTAGCGAAAAGATATAATCAAACAAAAAAAGAAACGTACACAAAAGAAAAACAATCAGAGCTGGGGGGGGGGGGGATCGGAGATAACTTTCTATCTCCCCCTCTTTCTCAAATAATTTATATCTCCTCTCACATATACATCCCCCCTCTCACATATGCCTTAGTATAGGGAACGCTATAGAGAGTGAGCGGCTGATAAAGTCGAAATGAGAAGAATATTACTGTCCAATACTTATGAAAGTAAAACTTTTGAATGTAAATCTCTGTTGCATCAAACTGCTATACAAAAATGTTTATTATGCTATACTGACGTTACTATACGTCAGAAATCATACTTTAGCCAGAAAATATAAACAAACAAAAAGAGAGACAAACTAAATAATAAATCTGAGCTTTGAGGGGGGGGGGGGGGTCGGTGATACAAAATGTCATAATAATAAATCCAACATACACCTGATCAAAACACGTTTTCGGAGATTAAATCGAGTACAACCTCGCGATCTTGCTTTAGACTTATAATACTGCTTGTTGTTGTTGACAATAGAGAGCTGACCTTTGGATTTTCCTTTCATGTGCAGTGAAGTGCATTGTTCCGCGCGTGCCGCGTGCCGTTATAGGCTTTGACTTTGCGCTGCTCCCAATTGAAATACCAGCAGTATCGGTATTCTGTGCATGGAAGGTCTCAGCGAAAGTCAATATTTGTGGGACAGACATCGCGGAGCTCCATACGCTGCTGTACGAATTTCATGTGAGAGAAAACTTGACATGCTTATGAAAAAGTACAAATATAATGAATAATATTAAAGTAAACAAAACAGGAGTAATGGATAATGATAGCATATACTTTGGATAAACCCTCAAATCCACTAGTTTAGTGAATTAATGGCAGGGAAAGGCAATTTTAGGCTTGTAAAGACGTCGTCTACCTGCGTATTATGGGAACCTGGTATACCAGGTTCCCGTCTGTGAGTGGGCTCCACGGGAGCCTGGTATACCAGGTTCCCGGAAGGAACGGGTTAAATGAACAGCCATTGCAAACAAGCTGGATTAATACTTTTGGGTCATATGGAGTCTCATAAAAGTTTAATCTGCATTTAAAAGCTAAAATGAACATAGATACATGACAGTCTTTCTGTTCAATCTGCAGTGAAAAGGTTACCTTTTTTAATGGCAGACAGTATCAAGAAGTTTAAGTCTTTCCTCTATCTTTCACTCCATTTTATTTTCAAACAGGACCATACACTTTATTATAATCAGCACCATTCTAGCATTTGAAGGAATAAAAATGAAAAAACATTTCAAAAGACCAAGAGTAATGAGTGATTAAACAATAGATAGTTAGATATATAGATAGAGAGATAGAGAGAAAGGAAGAGTGGAGAGGGATAGAAAGAAGGATTGCAATGCAATTTACAGTCACATTCCAATCTACTTGTGAAATCAAAAGTATAACATCATATAGCTTTCAAATACAAGAGGTTATTCATAGTCAATTTGATTAAATTTTATGTATGTTTTAATCTCCTAACAGTGCTAACAGGACACGTCTTGGAAAAGAATCCAATAGACGACATACAACTGAGAGGGCGCTTTGGTCAATTTGAGTATGTGATCAACGTGGACAAGATCTTCAAGGAGAATGAGAATCTGAAGAAGGGTGCGTCAGGGTTCCCACTGTCTATCTTGACCTCACCAGGGGATAGTCTCTGTGGACCAAAGTCACTCAAGATTGGAACAAAGTATCTCATAGCAGGTAAGCACATAATGCCTTCAAATCACTATTAGTATTGATTGTGGACAGCCAGAATGTTGTTAATTACGTCAATGTATATGATTTAAAAACCTTCTGGCTTATAATTGGCACTTGATCCTATAGAGGATAACATGTGCCAACTTAAATCATGAAAATTTATATCTTACTCGACTCTTGACAATATTATGCCTTTCATGAGAACATAATAATGTACTTAATAATGTAAGTTTGCCAAAACTTAACTCCCATGCTATGAACAATAAAACTACCGGTATCTGAAATAAGAAACTTCATACATTTTGCATGCTTCTGAAAAAATGTTGTGACTATATAACCTAAGGACAAATCTGATATCACACCTAAAATAAAAATCATCACTTGTAAAGATGTAGCTTTCCTTTTTCTCTCTGGAGCAAAAAAATATTAATGAAATGTATTGTTTTGTTTGTCAGGTAGCGTTGTTGATGGTGAGCTTCACATCAGTGCATGCGATTGGATACAGGAATGGAGAGATGTAACACAGCAACAGAAAAAAGGAATCAAGAACTTCTACAGCGCATACTGCTCTCAGTGCACGGTAAGTCCACTATACCTATTCTTAAAATTTGAAGATTTAAAAAAAAAGTTTGGGATGGTGTAATTTCTATTCCAAGAAAACTGTATCTTATACATTTCTAAATTTCAATAACTTCAGGCTACTCTTACTTCCTATTTAGAAACTTAGTTATTAGTCTACACGTTTTCCCTACCTTTTTTGTTATGAAGGGGGGGGGGGGGTAGTGACAAAAAAGAAACAAAGAAAGATACAAGAGAGGCAGACAGATAAAAGAGAGGCGACTTTTTGTAATACCAATCATGGAGGATAAACAGTAGTAAACTAGTTTTTAATGTGCGAGATGAAAAATATCTCAGCACTTTTTAGTTCATCACTAAAAATGCTATTGTCTATTTTTCATGACTTGGTATGGCAACATAATTATATTGATACAAGGGATGATACAAAGTGATGATTCTATAAGCTCTAAAAATTGTGCTTAATCATTGCACACAAAAAAAATTAACCCAAGACAACTAGGGATTGAGTCTATGGAATCACATGCTATACTAAATGCAAATGGTAACCAGCAGGTTTAGTGAGCTAGGACCACACCCTTGACTTTCATCTCCTTTATGTCGCTCAGATCCAGTCTACCATGGGAGGGTTCAGGCAGACCGGTGGAGGGGCGGCCGGTGGGTGTATCTATGACCCCGCCCCTAGCATGGTGAATGGTGTGGAGGACTGCCAGGCTCTCTATGCTACCTGCATCATTCAACAGGGACAGGCGTGTCAGTGGTATCACCGTGGTAACGACTACCAGGACTGCATCAACAGGAACAAGCCTTACTACCATGGGGTCGAGACCACGCAGAGTGTCAATTTTCCAATCATGGATGATGTTATGACGTAATACCAACATGATGTAGAGGATTTCCAAAGACCTCTATGCTATCTATCACCATGGTAATGACTACCAGGACTGTATCCAGAGGAACAGACTCTGTACCAGGGGTTGAAGACAACATGAAGTGTCAATTTTCCTGTCATGGATGATATTATGATGTTATACCCATATCAGCATGATAATCTACTTAACTGTTTGAAATAAGTGCTCACGATGTTTTAAGAAAATAAGTGCATATAGCACTCTAAATATGAACACAGGTTTTCATATCTGATTGGACCAGTCTTGTGTCCGTTCATGTGTATATAAGAGTTGCACAGAGTACTTATCTGTTCTGAAAAAGAGATCTTCCTTGAAATATGATCTAAAGTCAGAGTTTGTCAGCTCAGAAAATTTGACATATCTTGCCTATTATTTATTGCAAGTATAAAATATATTGTATATAGTTAATATATTTGTAGAATATTGTAAGTTCAAATAAATGTGCAAAGCAGACAGGAGGAATCCCTGTGTCAAAAAAGAAAATGACAGAAGCCCAGCAAAAAGTATGAAATAACATACAATAAAAATGATGTTCCTGCACTTTGCTACACAATATTTAAATTGAAACTTAGTTTGTTACTAATGGATGGTAAATTAGGGGGAATTCCATCTTTTTTATTACACCATATTTCATATTACTTCAGACTTAGGTGAATACAAACTCACTGAAAGACAGACCAAGGATGTTGAACAAAATCATGGTTCATCTTTCGAGTAAAAGTACCAAAATGTTAGTAACTCCAAATTGAGAAATATAGATAGCGCCATCTACTGTCTACTGTTGTACAGCTGCTTTCTCCTTCAATCAGTTTAGGAGTATACTCTACCTGCAAACTGGGATTGCCATACGGATAAATAAAAAAGAAGATGAATAATCCAATGTGATAATTAAAAAAAATGAATAAAAATTACAATTTCTATGATAAAAAAAGTAACTTCTATGATTTCCATTGCTTTGACATTTCGCATTCTGATATAACTCTTTTGAATACCGGTAAGTTTATTTTAAGCAGTTCTACAAGGGCAAAATAGGAAAAGAGTGAGAGAGAAAGATATTAAGAAGGAATGAAAGAAAGATTGATGGGATGGGAAAGGGAAGAGATGTAAGGGCACAAAATAAGATACAGAGAGAGAGAGAGAGAGAGAGAGAGAGAGAGAAAAGGAGAACATAATATAAGGAAATAAAAGAAAGAGTACAGGAGTGACGCAAATAGAATTACAATCAAATATGACCTATGAATAAGAAGAAAAAGAAAAAACAAATGGGAAAGAGATAATTGGATAGAGGAATTGAATATAAATATATATATAGACAGAGAGACAGAGAGACAGAGAGAGAGAGGGAGACCGAGAGAGAGGGAGGGAGGGAGGGAGGGAGGGAGGGAGGGAGAGAATAAATGATTAAGTTAAATAATTGTATCCGAGCACTAAAACTTTGCAATTTTCAAAGTTTCTCAAGAAAACAGCCATCATTATATTTAATTTGTGAAAGTTTCTGGCTTACACAAGTAAAATTAAATATAGGTCATAGAAGAGAGAGAGAGAGAGAGAGAGAGAGAGAGAGAGAGAGAGAGAGAGAGAGAGAGAGAGAGAGAGAGAGAGAGAGAAGAAAAGAGACTGACAAAAAGTTATGAAAAGAATTATTTTTTCTTGAGTTTAGCTTGAGTCTCAACTCTGTCCTGGATCCTATTATTGCTATTGATAATCCGTGACTGTGATGGGAGGAGCCATAATTCAATTTTATCTGAGTAAATAAAACATCATAAATTGATTCATTATCAACTGCCTGATTTCACGTTCCCCTAATTTCCTTATTAACAAAATCTTTGAATGAAACAGCGATTCATCTCCTTGCTCCTTCCTTTCAAAAATAACCTAGAGCAAATAAGATTCCAGAGGATATTTTCAATTACACCTAATAAAATTCATTTTAATGATGGAAAGTACTGATGTGATATGAAGTGACAATCAGTGTGCAAATAGGAAGGAAGGGATGAAAAATATGGATGTATCAGGGTTATTTTTCAGTAAAAGGGAAAAATAGGGAAATGTTTTACTTTTTTATTTGACCAATTGACAAGGAAGTGCCCCTGAAGTGGCCCACATAGCTATATACTATGAATAAATAAAGTTTATGTGAATAAATATTCCCTTTGACCTATTTTCCTGTCTTCATTCAAAGTCATCCCAAATTCATTATCCGAAATAATAATTACATTGAGCAATTAAATGTAAAGTATGCTTACAACATGTTAAGACCACATGGTGGACTCATACAGCTCAACTATCTATGCTGCCCTCTCAAGTCTAAATCTATGCAATGTTTCTTGATTTTTGCTATCATGGTACAGCGAGCTGAATATAAAACATGAATCTTATGTCACAGAATAAATGTTGAATTTAATAATTAGATTTTTACAATCTAAACAGAGATTTTTTCAAACAAATAGTATTGAAGGAGCAATCACACCTTAAATATTATTTTAATTCCTATGATTCAGTGTTGAAATATACTATCATTTTTTCACTTATTGCCTTAACACGATAGAAAATACTTTCAAAAAATCAACTCAAAGGTAATTCCAATACACTCATGTTTGGATTACATATTACATCTCTTTCATGTTCACATATATTAATGGGTGACGCACAAGGCTACCGGAACTGCCTCAACTTGACTCTTTTTAAAGTAGTTGCGATCGTGTCCTCTGTTTATACCCCTCCCCTCCCTCAGTTCTTGTAAGAACTGTTTCTGAAATCCTCATAGGAACTAGTATACATATTTTGTATACACTCGTTCATGGAAAGCATACACTATGTGACAAGAGGTTTATATGTACCATTTTAAGCTTGGGAAAGTTTGTATTGCACCTTTTGCCAAAATATTATTGGATTACCATTTAATCATGAATTTTAAATGATAACAACATCAACATTACAACTAATGCTGTCAGCTCCAGTTAGCATTTGGCGCTAGATATGTATATAGTTAACTATGCAAGTAGTCTAGCATTGCAGACCTGGCTAGGTTTTAGTCTGTTGCTTACAAAACACACACAAATGTACTCAAGGTACACAAACTTAGACAAACAGATCATTATCCAGTCTGCCATGTAATATTGAAGAGATAACCAGTATTATAATGTATATTTTTTTAGATAAAGACATTATCTAGCTTGTATTCCTTTCATTTCCAGCAAACTGTGGTCTTTTCTCCAAAGCTAGAGTTCCATACAGGTGCATGGATGACACGCAATGCAAATTAACACTTGACATTGAGGTTATGAGCTCCTTGATTGGACGTCATAAACTAATTAAAACAGGGAAATCAAAGAAATGCAATATTTCCTCCTCTGCCTCCAAATGTCGAAAAAACAATAACGTCCTCTGACGCCCCAATAATAAACAAAACTTGTTTTTGTCCCTAGCAGGTGAGTGGACTTATGACATGTTTGCTTCTTCTTCTTTCAAAACTGACCTGTCATCAAAATATGATTTTGTCTATGATGAAAGAGTGGACAGAGCTGCTTGCATTACAGAAGATATGTTTAAACACAATTCAAATATTTCAAGCAACTTGTTGTTAGCCACTCAGGGTTGTGTACTAAGGATTTGCATTAAAACATATCTCTTTCATGCAAGTGCCACCTATTCTCTGACATTCTAATACTGACTTCCTCCTACTGATCAGCAGCAAAGTCACTTTTATCTGATTAAAATGAAACAAAAATCAACTTATATATGTATTTATTGTGAATCAATTTTTACTCAATGTTGAGTGGTTGAAAAAGAATATATAAGCCCAGACTAATTACTGGGTACATTACTATCTTCGTAAGGAACTAGATTCATGAACTGCAAAGTTGAAAAGTTGAATTAAAAATCTGTTAGATGGTCTAAAATGAACTAAACGTTGGAAAGAGCTATAAACAATATATTGTTAGAGGACTTTGTAGATGTAGATTCCATAACTCTTGTTCCTTATTTTCTAGTCATAACACCAAACCAATATTAAATGCAGAAAAAGATATCAAACCTTTTAAGATTACCAATTTGATATAGGCTGCATGTGCACTAGTAAAATCACATTTAATTTGCACATACCAGTCAAAATCCATGGGAAGCATTTGCAAGCTCATTCACATGTGTAAATCTAGGGAAGAAATGTTTTCATGAACCAATATTAATATAGGGGAAATGGATATTTCCTGATAATGTTTTTTAATTTTTTTCTCAAAGAGAATTTGTCAACCTATTGCTATTCAGAAATAATCATTTCCATGAGCAATATTTGAAGCAACTTGTACTTTTGTGGTGATAGGTATAGAGAAGTGATATTCTGAGAAGTAGATGCCATATGTTATTGACTTCATGGTCATGAGGCGTTACTTCCTATGTGATATCCAATGAGGGTGTGATTATATGAAGCTAGGTTAAAAAGATTGCAATCTTTTATGGGTCATCCACCTTTTTGTGCAATCCCCGATACATTTCCAACGATGTAGTAATAATTGTTTGATCTAAACCACAGGAATATGTAAAAGAAACAGTGAAAGTAAACGATTAAACTTAAAATATTTCAGATCTAAAAAACTCTGTGGAAGAGTGGTTTCTCCTTTAAAGCTACCCTCACAAGGTTACATTTCCTCTCATGATAGGAGACATTTCATCTGCAGTTGCCTTTCTCCACCCAGGTGTAAGATATATGATATATGTACCTGGTAGCTTTATGGGTGCTCAGTGGTAGGCAGGTGTTGAAAAATGCTTTGAGTGATATATTCAAATGATGTTTGTATATACTATTTGGCTGATTTCTATGGAATAGTGTAAATCATTTGTGTGCCAGGCAGATATAACAAACTCTTGTCTCGACTCATTACCAAATCCTCCATAGACTGTTTATTATATACTCACCCCCCTAAAGAATAGAATACTATAACAAGTCTGAGTCTACTTTTACAAAACTACATTTAAAACAATAACAATGTAGGCCATTTTAAAGAACAGAATACTTCAGAATGTCCGAGTTCATAAAACTGCAATTGCAACAATGAGACATTAACCAGCAACTTAACCAGGCAGGGTGTAGAAGATATTCCATAGTCAGCCTGGCCTATGATTGATTCCTAAAATGGGTTGGTGAAAGGAGAGAACATTGAACCAATTAAACTCCCTTGACCCCAAGACATGACCCACATTCCCTCTACATTCATGTTGACATAGTCAAACAAACATGAGTTTTGAAGCATACTTCCTTCCCATTCTCACCATATGAGAACATGGCATGCTTTTCTTTCTTTTCTATCAAACTTGAGGTTATTAACTTTCAGTTATATTTTCTTTAAATGACTGTTTTAAAAAGAGGATAAGCATTGCAAAAATAGGTATTTGTCCAATTTTGCATAAAAGAGAACTCAAATATACTTTAAGAAAACCATTTATAAAATTTAAGTTAAAATATTGGGAAATCCCCTTTATTTCAATAAATTCATGATATTTACATGCAAAAGTTTATATATTAATATGTTTGCAAGTCTCTATGCAAGTCTCTACCTGTAATCTCGTAGTATGTGGCCACATCGTCCATTATTCATGTATGTTCCAGCGTTAAAGTATGGTTCAATGTCTGATACATGTTCTGGGAACAATTGTGGAACAATTCTGTGGACTATTTCCTATATTAACCTAATAACTTACCTAATACTATACCTTATTCATGAGCATAAACTTAAAAACTTTAACATAATTGAAACCCTAACCCTAACCCCATATCCTAAATGAAGCCAGGATCAAAATGTCACCAGAGCAAATGTTGGATAACCTACATGTACATGAACTTTTCAATCACATTTTTTGTGTATTACTGATCTGCTGTATTGCACCCAACTAAAGTATTTAACTCTCAATTATGATTGAATTTGACTTTTCCAGGTAGTCTGGTTGTTTATGAAGTGTTCCTAACATGCTATCAATTTCAAATGAGACGTAACAGGAAGCATCCTTTCTCTCACTGCACGTAACTCACGATTCAGAAAACATTGCGAAGGGCTCATGATAATATAACCATCAGA